TCTATTCTAAAATTTACCAATATAACTTGTATATCTACCGAGTATTTTGATGTTTATAGGAAACAGGTATTTGCTTACGAACAATTATATGATTTAATAAGTTTAGAATTATTTAGTGTCTGCAGCGCGTACTGCGAAATTCGCTTATAACAACTCCGCATATAACCGCCCACTTACTAATTTCTATACAAAAAACTTTTAGATTTTTTATTTTACGTTGTAATAAACGGACTTTGGCATACGGGTCTGCAAATAATGTAAGTACAGAAATGTAATTTGAACGTAACTTACCTGTGTTGACTTAAGCTAATTTCGTGTCCAAAAGTTTTATTACAAAGTTCACAGGCGAAGGGTCGTTTTCCGTTATGCGACCGTCTTGCGTGAACTTCCAGACCGTGAGGGGTGGAGAACATCTTTTCACACTTTATACAAGAATAAACATCCCCTAAGGGCATGATATTCGGTCTAAGTAGTAAATGATTATGTGGATGAATGCTATTACCATTGAAGATTTGGTGTTTTAATCTTAAAAAGTCCTCGGGATATTGAGCGGGATATTGTCCGTGTTGAAGACTAGCAGAATTATCGTTTGCCATGGCGGCAGCAACGGCACTAAGATACATAGAAGAAGTAGCAAAAGACGACTTGTCTTCCATAGGTTTTTGATATATACCGGGAGGAAGAAGATTCGGATATTGCAAGAGATGCCTTTGGAAGATGTAATTCTCATAGTCCTGGTTGGTTTTGATATGCGCGTCCCTTAACAGATCGACAATAGGGGGATAAAAGTATGACCTTGTGAATGATATCGTTTCTTGATAACAGGAATTACGTTTACTTTTCGGGTTATCTGGTTTAAGAAGCGCACTCACAGAAAATGTTTCGGATTTTTTTAGGGAACTTGTACTTTTTGTTTCGGGAAAAAACCGGTGAGAAGGAGAGGGTGAGCTGACCCGGGAGCACGGGGGAGAATCGACCTCTATGTCTGGCGAGGTCGTTTTGCTAGGACATAAAATCGCAGGGTCCACAAGTTTGTCTTGGAATTGCACGGGCGACGTACTGCTGCTTCTTGAGTCTTCATGTCTATCAACGTAATAGTGAAACGATTGATTTTCGTCAATAACGTTCTTATGTGAAGGATAATCCTGATCCGACAGTTGATTGGCTACCAGTCTGTTTACTCCGAATTTGATTTTATCTGGAAAAGAGGAAAAATAAATTAAATGATAACTCGCCTAATATTTTTATTAACCCAACAATGTAAACAAATAACTGCTAAAAGTAGGAGCACAAAATGTGAGAATCATAAGGATTACTGAGGATAGGGGCTTAAAGGTTGTTAAAAAGTATATAGATAACAAATTTCAGTTAGTCAGAATGTTTTGTTTATTTATTCTCAACAGAAAAATAAAATTTTAATGCCTTAATATTGGAATTTTGTAAAACTTTCATTAATCTAATCTGTGTACACCTCTGACAATTATCATATTTATTGTTAATATAAGGAACTCAAATATATGAATCCGTTTTACCAAAAACCACGCAGTTATCCTTATTAATTTGGTATCATTATATTGATATTTTATTTATTTAGTTAGAAATCGTACATTTTATTGAATTTCTTTATTATTAAACTGCTAATAGCAATGAATATAGACTATAATATCTGTGTTCGCTGATAATACAATTGTAGTACATAATTAATGCAACTAGATGACAAGACAAATAACAGTATTGCCCAGCAGCTGTAATTTTCGAATTGTGTTGACCCGTCAACGAAAACCTTTGAACCTAATTGATTTTAATTCTAAACAATTAAAAATTCAAGGGAAGAAATGAAGAATATCATCATCATTATAAGGTCGTCAGTCTGAAGACTGGTTGGACATGCACTTCCACTCTTTCCTTCACATTTCCCTAAAACTAGAAAATTCCACATCCTTAACTATCTCTGAACAGTAATCTAATCTAGGTCTATCTCTGCTCCTCCTAACTCCTGTTTCTGCTTCTAATATATCTCTGATTAGATCTTCATGCCTGAGAAGGTGTCCTACCAACCTATCTCGCCTATTTCTTACTGACTTCCATANCATAAAATATGCACGATCTTTTTCCGATAATGTCAATTTTCTAACGCCGGAAAATCCATTTTCAACGAATGTATTTTTATGTAATACGGCATATATATGCATATGTTTGTATGTTCATGCGTACATTAGATAATACTACGCCTTCGCAAAGCTTTCTCGAAATCTTAAGAAAAGCTCATAAAAAATGTTCATGTCCCGAAGAATTCCCTAAATCAACGTAAAAATGTCACAGTAGCAATAAATATCATAGAAATTCAGTGTTTTAGAGGAACATTGTTTTAATACAGCAAGGTGTGTGGTATCGTGGGACTTCCGGTAGGAAGGAATTTTTCGAAATGGGAATTTTAACAGGTTAGCTTCCAAAGCTTTTTAAAGTCACTTTTATTAGATATATTTACAAGAAAGCAGACTAATCGAATCTAATACTTTGTTTGCTCTTTCTCTCCCTCTCTGCAAGCAGTAAGTAAGAGGGAGAGAGATGTCCACTAACACATTCGATTCTTGGCCAGCCAGACCAGCAAAAGGGAGTCTTTAACTCCCTGTCGCCGTAACATGCGATACGACTCTACCCTGCGCTATTTTCTGCTTTATATCCCTACTACTCCTTCCATCCTGACTTATCTGACTTCCTAGATACCTAAAATCAGTCATACCTTCTAATTTTTCGTCTCCTATCTCTATATTCGCTCTTTCCGTACTTTTTCCTTCCTTGCAAACCAGTACTTTTGTTTTACTTCTATTTATTTTCATACAATAGTGTTTTGACAACAACTCTTCCATTTCTTTTGAACAATAATTTACAGATAATTAAATATTTTAGTTTAGAATCAGTACATTTTTGGTGCGATTACAATTTTTAATCCCCATGTATTAATGAGTTTTCAGTTATGAATTAAAATTCTAAAATTTACCAATATAATTTGTATATCTACCGAGTGTTTTGATGTTTATAGGAAACAGGTATTTGCTTACGAACAATTATATGATTTAATAAGTATAGAATTATTTAGTGTCTGCAGCGCGTACTGCGAAATTCGCTTATAACAACTCCGCATATAACCATCCATTTATTAATTTCTATACAAAAAACTTTTAGATTTTTTATTTTACGTTGTAATAAACGGACTTTGGCATACGGGTCTGCAAATAATGTNTTTGAACAATAATTTACAGATAATTAAATATTTTAGTTTAGAATCAGTACATTTTTGGTGCGATTACAATTTTTAATCCCCATGTATTAAAATAGTAGTAGCTGGCTTGTCACAAAGTGCAACTGTTCTTAGTGTAGTGCAGCTTGTTCCTCTGTTCGTCGGGATTCCACGGATATCAAGAAAAACATTGTAACAATAATAAAGAAGGGCAATTTGTAATGAAAATTAATCTCGGTGCAAGCGACATAAATTACAAAATAGGGGTGATCCGGCGGCGTTAATTGAGGGGGTCGGACGAAAAGTTCTGAGTCAGTTTATGCTCTGCGCTATGTTATACGCCTCATTTACCACTTGGTTAAGCTTTAGTAGCTCTGCACATTTATATCGTGAGCATGTGTGCTTTGTGTAAGTGGATGGCTGTATTTTATTTTCACTCGTGGAGACCAAATTCCGTACAGGGGGCTGGTTTTGATGGAATTATAAATAAATAATTTATTTAGACATTGAAACTCTATATTGCCTTGCACCAATTATCAAATAATGCAAAATTGGTTGATAAAAATTTAGCCCATTTAAATGTATCAACACTGATGGTTATTGATAAAGTGACTGGAGCTATTAAGAATCAAATTCAGAATTATGGATAAAGATATATTTAGGGAATGGGGTTGATAAACAATTATTATTATATCATCATCATAATCATCTTTCCTATCCTCAACTAGAACATTCCGCATCCTTAACTATTTGCGAACAGTAGGTAATCTAATCTAGAATTACCTCTATTTCTCTTAACTCCTGTTTCTGCTTCTAATATGTCTCTAATTAGCCCTTCATACCTGAGAAGGCGTCCTATCAACCTATTTCGTCTATTTCTTGTTGACTTCCATAGAGTCCTCTGTTCTATTCTTTTTAATACCTCTTCAATTCTAACCTTTTCTATCCA